AGACTTGCTTGGCATCTGGTTGCCACAAACCTTCAATTTGCAGAAAATGTTTTATCTGTGAAGTGCAATAAAGTAAAGCACAATAAAATGAGGTATGTCTGTAATATTATCGTCTAGATCATGAACCTGACATAGGGTAGAGGTAAGATAATAAGAGGCGGGAAAATGGGTGAGAAATCATTGTTACAGAATTGACAATACTGGATGTCCCACTGCTTTATGGTGGATGACAGCTTAAAAAAAGAATATGAAAATTATGTCAGCTATATTAGCCTACATATCTAAGGAGCATGGTAGTATCATTGATTAATAGATATTAACTGATCAATTTGGAAGTAAATAATGGAAAACTATTAGGAGCAATTTAAAATATAGGATATGTCTATCACCAGAAAAAGAAATCAGGGTATGGGTGCTTAATGTTCTCAAAGTAGCTCACTGGCTAAGGGGCTTAATTGATGTTAATGGCCAGCCTCTCTCAGGTGTTTTCCTCATAGCTATAAAATGGCTGCTGCACTTCCAGGCAGCAAGGAAGTGTTCAAGGTAATAAGAAAAAAAGGAATGGTGCCTGCTACATCCGTCCTATGTGAGGGAAACAAAAACTTTTCCAGAGACTCTCCAACTTCTCTCTCCCTGGCTGTAGAATTCCTCTTATGTCACATTGGTAAAAAGAAAGGCTAAGAAAGTGTTTAACTTCTCCTGCTTTTATAGTAAAGACAAACAAAGGAGAATATGATTGGGAATAAATGTTAAGTTATACAGTCAATAGTGTTAGTCTCAGGTCCTGACTTCTTTCCAGGGAGAAAAGGCTTAGGGAGTCAAATTAGCAATTTGTTTTCAAACTTGTTGAGGTTAAGGAAACATTAAGATATCTAAGTGGAAGGGCAGAAGGTAGTCATTAGGACATAAATAATAGGTGATACTGTAGGAATGGATGAAATTAGAACAAACAAGCCTACAATAAAAAAAACTCCCAATGCTGACAAGAAAGTGAAACAACAAAAACTCATTCATTACTGGAAGGAATGAAAAATGGCACAGCTACTTTGGAAGATAGTTTGGTAGTTTCTTACAAAACTAAGTATATTCTTATCATACAATCCAGCAACTGCAGTCCTTGGTATCTATCCAAAGGAGTTGAAAAATATATGTCCAAAAAATTCTGCAAATGGATGTTCATAGCACCTTTATTCATAACTGCCATAATCTGGAAGCAACCAAGATATCCTTCAGTAGGTGAATAAATAAACTGTGTACACCCAGAAAATGGAATACTAGACATTAAAACAAATGAGCTGCACAGCCATCAAAAGGTATGGTGAAAGTTTAAATGAATACATACTGTATGATTCCAACTATACGACATTCTGGAAAAGGTAAAACTATGGAAACAGTAAAAAGATTAATGGCCGGCAGGTATTAGGAGGAGAGAAAAATAAAGAGGTAGAACACAGAGGATTTTTAGAGTGAAACTCTTCTGTATGATACTACAATGGTAGATATGTGTCATGTACATTAGAATGCACAGGTTACTGTGAACTATGGACTGTGGGTTACACTGATACAGATCCGTGAACTGTAACAAATATACCACTCTGGTGTTGGGCACTGGGGCATGTACATGTGTGAAGGCAGGAGGTATGTGGGAACTCTGCACTCTCTGCTCAATTCTGCTGTGGTGAATCTACAACTGCTCTAAAAAAGTTTTTTGTTTTTTTTTTTTAAAGAATAATAAGGGACTAATCACATAACTTGGGAATAGGTAGAAAAGGAGGCACCAGCTAAAGAAGAGAAATCAAAGAAAAAAATGATGAGGATATAGCAATAGAGAACTATAGGAAAGTTTTCAAAAGGGCAGGGCCAACAAAATGGAAATGTATTCTAGTTACATTGACTGGGATACTGAGTAGGACAGGGAGTAAGTTTCACAAGTTTAATCATCAGAGGCCACTTATAAACTAAGAATGAAGGGCTTTCAATGGAATTACAGTGGAGAAGCTCAACTGTAGGAAGTTAAAGATGTATGATAAAGATGATAAATAAATAAAATGAAAGAGGGAAAAAAGGCAGTATATGTGAAATTTCTTAAGTCTGATGTCTGCAAATTTATGGTTAATGTAAACTTATTTAAAAACATTAAATGTCCAAAACTGTGTTCTTCAAGAAACCAATTTCTTAACATAAATAGGTAAAATTTATTTTAAATGAGATGATAAGCTCTCTCTTTTTTTTAAAGTAACTCTCAAGGTACAGATTAGTATTAGTATAAATTTAGCCCTTCATCCTATAGGTACCACTGTGTTTTACTTGTTATTAGGGAAAACTGCAAACATTATAAAAGTAGGGGAAAAAATGCCATGCTAGCAAATTTAGCTAGTATAATTCCATGCTACTTCAAAAATAATGCTCATATGATCACCCAAAATCCGATTTTATGTTCCACATAAAAAATAATTTAGGATTTCCAGGTTATTAGAGTAAACAAAGATTTATTATTTGAACAGCACTATAATATTAAAAAGTATTTCCTTGTATGATCATGTATTTGCCATAATTAATTGGAAAGTTCTATATAATGTATGATCATTAACTTGGATTTTTCCCAAACATATCTCTAGTACTGTTTCCTTTATGAATTTCAATATTACACAATTAAATGAAGCATTAATTTTTCAGCTTTTATCCTAGTCAAATTTACCTTTAACTGATATCAATAATAGTACTATTTATGATAAAATACTAGAAGTATTACTGACTGACTGAAAGCTCCTAGAGACATTGACTCTTTTTAAAATTTCTTCCTAAAGCTTATTTAGATACTAACTAAATATTGAATGAGTTAACAAAAAAATGATACCTGTAGGTGGACTGTAAAAGACAGGCATACTGCTGAGAAAGGAGACGAAAAGTTGATTCATCAGATAGCTTGGTAATATACTTATTATTCATAACTTATATGGCAACTTGAAGACACAGTGTGCAGTAACCAAAACACCAAATAAAGAAAGAACATCATCCCTGGAAGGTAAGAATAATTTTAAAAAATGATTCAGAATAAAGCAGATATAAATATATAATAAATTTAAGGTTTCTCATGAGGAAGGATAGCATAAAATAACTAAAAAATGATTCGAAGCCAGTATTATACAAGACAGACATTTTTAAAAGAGTGAAAATGAACACTGGAGGTTTAAAAAGATTAAATTGATGAGTCTTTAAAAATTCTTCCTCCCATCCTAACTCTACAAAAAACTTAAGTTGGTTAGTGAATGGATGAAGGTATGAAAGATTAAAAGACAACAGAAAAATCTGACACATTGCAGAAAAAGGTGAGAAACTAGAAAAGATTTTAACATAGTATATTTGTCAGGATTAAAAATGTAGCTTTGTTTGTATATTGTTTTATATAGTCTATAGTTCATAGAGATTTCTATTTTATAGGGATTTTGTTTGGTTTGGTTTTGAACTTCCCGTTTTTTTTGGTCTACATCTAACCTTCTAATTTTAATAACCTCTTAGAAATGTGCATTTCTTTCTCTCCATAAATAGCAGGTGCCATTTAATTCAGTTTAACACAAATACACAACAAAGAAAGCCAGAATAAGGACTGTGGTATTATTATGTACTCAACAAACTAGAATTTTAATTCTAGGTCTGTTTTATATGGAAATAGCCATGTCACATATAGCACATGAAATCTGTCCCTGATGCTAATAATAAATTGGCACATATAATGGAAGCTGCCTTTAAAACAAAGTTACTATCGATCTGCAAGTATACATTTGAAAAAATTATTATACTAAATTTTAATCATATGGCAAATTCCTTGGGGTAATTAAAAAGTGATCAAGAATCTACATTTCTTTTCTTTCCACTTTATTGTTCTAATCTATATATTTGAGAGAAATGAAGAGAACGTACATTAAACAATGACAACAAAGTTACTACAAATTCCTAACTACTCACTGAAAATTTCAAAATGAAGCTAAACACATTTGTAGAAAAATCTGACTTCAACCAAACTTCACACTTTTTGGATAGACGAAACATATTTTCCACTTCAAAATGTCACCATTTTTCTCACTTTTGGTAGATAATTCTGGTTTAGTGAGTTGCACTGCTAATGCCATAATATTCTCCTGTAATTCGTAGCAAAAATGAATTTAAGACAACAAAGTACAATATTCTTGATAGCACATTTTGTCTTACTGCACAATTGCAATAATGATGAATCTTTTCTATTTCCTGGGCATATGATTTTGTTTTTATTTTTAACCAGTTAATGAGAAAGTAAGCACCTTGAGGGCAGGAACCACTACTATGTCACAGGTGCTATGCTAGGAAGCGAGACAAAGACAAAGAAGGAGAATGGAAAGTCCTAAGTACCATAAGAAAAAATATGTAAGTAGTAGAATCAAAGTGATATCCTTTTTCGTGATTATTGGATCTCTATTACAATGAAACAGAACCTCTTGTCATGAAACATACACTTCACTTGTTTCAAGTTCTGGTAGACTATATTTTCTTTCTTTTCTTGTAATAAGTAACATTTTAAGAACTATTTCAATTCGCAAACATCTTCACATACCCTTCAGGGAGTGTCAGTTCTGTGGGTTAATAATACCACAAGATTAGTGTAATAAATATTGATGTGAAGAAAAGGCTCATGGTTTAATTTTTTTCCCTTTTAGTGTGGCCACTTTTTACTAACTACAAAAGATAACAGTATACCATAAAATCAGAAACAGAATGAACACATACCCAAAGTATTAATATGCCACCACTCAAAATGCAGAAAATACGTTGTTTTCATGTACACATACACGAAATAAAATAATACCATAACAGAAGGGTGCTGTATCTGTGTTTAAAGAAGGGGTTGTTGGCAAACACCACAGCTCACTTCTGCTGAAATGTACACAACTGATATATGCAGCACAGAAAGCTGGCACCACGGGCTTACAACCTTAATTTGCTTGGAAGAAGGAATGGAGATTTACCTTCAGAGCACGTTCCTGATTGTTTTCAGCAGTCAGATGTCTCATGTTGTTTGCTGAAGTCTGGTTCTGCTCTTTCAGATGATGAAGCTCCTGCTCTAGCCGTTTGCACTGCCACAGGGGAAGAATCCCATTAAGTAAAGGAGTTATAGCATTTTTTTTTTTTCTAAACAAGCCACATGAATTAATGTAAATAATACCACTGCATTCTCTAAAAGACAAGGTATCTTTTGCAACAAGAATAGTAAGTTAAAAGTAATGATGAACATGAACATATGTTTGTAGTAGTCTGGCAATTCAATTGCAATTGTTTGTCTTTTATTAATCTAAATATTACCATAAAATTAGAAAAATACTTATTTTTTCATAAAATTAAGGTCAAACTACATTGAAAAATGTTTTCTTCACTAATCAAACAGTTTTTATTATATATCTTTTGGCTGAAAAAAAGCATGCTTCTAAAAATCAAATGGGGTTCTACGTAAACCACAATATGATATTCTGTAATGAATTTTTATTAAGTTTTTAAAAATAACAATTATCATAAAATATACAGTAAGAGGTTTTTTGGATTTTTAGAAACATCTAAAGAAAACAATTGTGTAAGGAAAAAAGTAATAACTATAGAGTGCTATAAGGTTTGGAAACAACTAAGGAAACAAGTGTTTTTAATTTCTATTTTGACTAAACCTTATTTTTAAGTAAAACAAGTGATAACAAACATATGAAATGATATTCTGACCTACTGGGAATATATGAAAATTTAAAAAAATAAATTATAAATAAAAGCATAAATGGGCATCTATTTTGAAAAAAATAATTGAAGTACCATGCCATTTGAATACAAGATCTTCATATAAATATATCAAACATTTTACACAATAATTGTACAGGATGTAAAGTGATGTGTTGTCATTCAGGACCATATGAAGATATCTGGGGGATTAGCTAAAGGAATACAGTACTAAACCCATCTTCCAGGAAAAGTTAAAAATCTCTCCTTAAGTCATCTATTTTTAAATTAGAATATTTAAAGATTGCCTGGCTGGCTCAGTTGGATAGAACATGCAACTCTTGATCTTGGGGTCATGAGTTTGAGCCCCGTGTTGGATGTAGAGATTATTTAAAAAAATAAATAAACCTAAAAAATTAGTATATTTAAGTAACAACCAATAAATAAATACGCATACTGATTCAAGACCTAGAAAAAATTAATTCTAGATTATTTGACAAAAGGCTAGCTGTCCTAATGAATTAAAAATCATTATCATGATACATTCCAGATACAGTCATAATCCAAATTGGCATCTGACACTGATTTCTTTTGCCTCTGACCTATATAATATTCTTTAGTCTGTATCAGTATTTCTCCTGCTTGAGTAAGATACAAATCCATTTAAAAGAAAAAGTTTTACCAAATTGGTGATATTGACTTATATAATGATGTTTTACAAATATAACATTGAGTATACATGCCTCCTGCATATGTAATTATAAAACCAAAATACATTTATAAATGAAGTAAAATAATAATCACAAAATCAAAACTTTAAAATATTAATTTAACTTAGCAGATAAAGTTTTACTGAAATTAAGTTCTGTAAATATTATACAGTATTGACTGATATGGTGGCATATCATTTCAGGTTGCCAAGTCTATTCCAACATGTGCTGTGTGACAACTTAATTCACTTATCACATTTTTAAAAATTATTTGAGTGAAACCTTTCTGACATAACATCATCTGGCCTTTATTTGGAAGTGACACATGATTTACACATTAAACTCTATAGCTGTCCTTTTTTAGCTTGTAACAATTCAAGTATCTGGTCACAAATGCAACCAAAATACAAATGTTTTGTGAAGACACAAATCATGAGGCATGAAAATGAGTAAGACATAGCAGTGAGCATCACAATCTAGTAGAAGTATTCTTTATTAGAATTATCCTCTACATTTTTAATTAATATTAATACAAAATTATTACATATTAAGTACTTAAATGGAATGACTAAACATGGCCTAGGATGTTACAAAGGTGGGGTAGATAATTTGGCTATGGAATAAAAGAATGTTTCATAGAGCAGATGACATCTGAGTTGGGCTTATTTGGGGAACATGATTTTATAAGCTGAAAGAGGAAGAATACAGGAGAAAAGGCAGAAACATCAAGGGTCTATCTGGAGAAAGTGAGAAATCATGGTCACAAGTTGTCTGACCACCTATTTTTTGTGTTTCTAAGTAAATCAGAAATAACCCAAGGATAGAGACTTCTTTCCTACCTACATGATCCACAAAATACAAAATACTATAGCCAAACAGAGAAATATGGCTTAAGAACAATAAAGCTATTTTTGAACCCAAGGGCATTTATCCACATTGCATACTTGGGCTCAGTTTTCACGGCCATGAAGTACAAGAGGGATAGAAAATAAGGCTGGGCCAGGGACCACTCAAACTAGCAAGTGTCCTAAAGGGCTACACTTTCAAGTGTTTAGTGATCCTTCCTACTTTCATGAATGAAAAGAAACAAGCCAAATGCTAGAGAAAATATATGTCCCTAAATCAAGAAATACGTAATTTGTTCTATGCTTTTAGGGTTTCATTTTGAAGTAACACCATTAAAAGTAACACAATACTTTCCTCAATCATATTCTGCCAAATATTAATATCCTTAAAAGGTCTACTGAATAAATTGAGACCTAGGAGGTTTCTTACATTTTTATATTTAAAATTTTTTTATTTTTTTTTTTAAAGATTTATTTATTTTATTTTACAGAGAGGGAGAGGAAGAGAGAGAGCATGCATGTGCGCTTGAATGGGGGGAAGAATGAAAGGAGAGGGAGACAAGCAGACTCCCCGCTGAGTGGAGAGCCAGGATGTGGCTTGATCCCCATGATCCCTGAGATCATGACCTGAGCCAAAATCAAGAGCTGGACGCTTAACCAACTGAGCCACCCAGGCGCCCCTTAAAAAATTTTTTAATACTCAAATTGAACTGTTACAGAGTCTCTGAGAACTAGAATTCTCACCATATGAGACTAAAAATAAAGATGAAAGACAAAATAGGTTAAATAAAAAACCCTTCAGTTCAGAATTTGCATTGGAAGTGTCAGTACAAGGATACAAAGAGCTTTATCTTTAAAAAAAAATGTGTGTTTATGTATTTTCTAGTTTTGCCCATTGAAAAGGGTAGAAATAACAGGAAACCCAGTAGCAATGAGTACTCCCAGCACCCACCCTGTGGGTCCAAGTACCATTTCTTACTAAAAATATAAGACTCCGTGGATATATGGCTGACTCCAGCTCTGGGGCAAGAAATGTACAATATGATCCAATAACACGTGTTCTTAGTAGAAGTTTTGTATTAACTATCAGTACTGAGGAACTATCAAAGAGACTCAGAAAGGACTCAGGAGACAATTTGAAAAGTCCCCCACCAGCTAAAGACAAAAGAATATGATCAAATAAGGATAGTAACTGAAATATATTGTAACACACACTATATGTTTAAATTATTGAGTTTATAATGACAATAAAGTTTTTTTTATAAAGATTTTATTTATTTATCAGAGAGAGAGAGAGAGACAGAGGCAGGCAGAGGGAGAAGCAGGCTCCCCGCCCAGCAAGGAGCCCGATGCGGGACTCGATCCCAGGACCCTGGGATCATGACCTGAGCCGAAGGCAGACGCTTAACCGACTGAGCCACCCAGGTGTCCCAACAATAAAATTTTTAAAAAACTAATTCTATCACAATTGGGGAATACTAGTAAGCCAAGAATTTATCTACCCTTTCTTATATAAACTTTACCCTAGGTAATCAAACAATAGATAAGAAAATCACTACAGAAGTATTCAAGCTAATAAAAAAAAAGAGAATGTTAGAATATCACAATTTTGAAATCATTACTATACTGAGATCATTAATATAGTACTGAACTGCTAGTAACATAGTTCTTTCACAAACCAACATGCATTCCCAGATAAAACACAAAACCACCTGCAGTCTTGGTAATAAAAATTAATCTAAATCTGATCAAGCCTATAGATCAAATTGCCATATGTATAGAGAGGAACATATTAAATGACACTAAAGAGATGCAGTGAATGAATAAGGTAACTCTACAAGAAAAATGACTCATTTTGTTTAAAAAATAAATTCCAAGGGGGCATCAGGGTGGCTCAGTCAGTTACACGTACAGGTCTTGATCTCAGGATTGTGAGTTCAAGCCCCGCGTTGGGCTCCACGCTGGGCGAGTAGCCTACTTAAAAAATTAAATAAAATTTAAAAATTTAATGGATAAAAAGAGATAGAAGGGGAGTCTATAAATTAAAAATAGTGTTAAGAGTCAATTCAATCATCTGCAATGTGTAATTCTTCTTAAATACAGATTCAAAATAAAGAGGAAAGTTACAATATTTATGAGATCACTGGAATTTGAAAAGTAGTCAGATGTTTCACAATGTTTTTATTAATATTTTTGTTGTGATAATGAGATTATGTTTTAAGCAATAGTTGATATCTTTTAGAAAGACACAATAAAATTTATGGATAAAAAGGATTTTATGTCTGGTAAATTTCATTCAAAATAACGTGAGAAGGAATAAATGAGTGGGGGATATAAATAAAAAAGCGGGACAGTTGTAGCAGGGTACAAATATCTCAAGGGCTCAGAGATTCTATGGTTTCTAAGTTCACTGATAAGAAGGATTAAATTTTTCTCTATAAACAAACCAAACTAATTCTATAATGTGAATGAACTAAACATATAAAACGTAACTGATGGCAAATTTTTATAAACTGAATTTGGCCCATATTTAATACAAGATCTGTTTCCAGCAGTATTTTCCTCTTACTTCTTATTGTAAATTCTGAAGAATTATACCAAGCAGACAATACATTGTTATGACTGTTTTATGTGTACTTTTTTTTATTTGTAAGGTATCTTTTTATTGTTATGTTAATCACCATACATTATATCATTAGTTCTTGATGTAGTAGTGTTCCATGATTCATTGTTTGTGTATAACACCCAGTGCTCCATTCAGTACGTGCCCTCTTTAATACCCATCACCAAGCCCTCCACCCCCCTCCCCTCCAGAACCCTCAG